AACACTCTCACACACTGAAGCTACAAACCCCCTTCAGATGAGCTATTTCTGAAAGCTTCAGAAAAAAACTCCGAGGCAGGAAGGCTAGGAGGAGCTCGGAGCACCTGAAAGGTAGTGTGGTGGCAGTAGCATGATCCCTTCCTTGCTACAGATGATATGAGAAAGGGATAGAAGAGATGGAAGAGTTGTGATGTCAGACACTCCCCGCACCTACAGAGAGGGCCACTACAAATAAGGCACCGTTGCAGCGCGGAAATGACAAAACCATCTTAGAATAGGATAGCAAGTACCTACTGCACTAGCAGTCTACAAGAATGATGCAGTTCCTGCTTAGAATGTAGTACTCTAACCTGTGTATTGTTACACAGATGTATTTAAAAGAATACCAAATGGGCCAGTGAGATAGCTCAGCGAGTAAAGGTACTTCTTGCCAAACCTGGTGACCTGAGTTTGTTCCCTGAACTCACATGGTGAAAGGAGAGAACTGACCCCCTCACATTGTCCTCTGACTTACACACACACACACACACACACACACACACACACACACACACACACACACATTGTGGCATGGGCATGGCCGCCATACAAATAAATAAATAAATAAATAAATAAATAAATAAATAAATAAATAAATGTAATAGAACACTATCAAAATAAGGATAAGTATCAAGAAAAAAGAACAAATAAAGCAACTGAAAAACAAAAATGGGAATTTACAAATATTTCCAAGATCAACCAGTCTAAATAGGTGTGTGTGGGGGGGGGCACATAGGCAACTAAGAATATTCAGGAAACAATCGCAGATGAAAATCGTGGGACTACATCATGTTTTTGCTGCATGCATGGGGTAAGAAGTGAGGGACAATCAAAATTAATGTGCATGGTTGTAGTTGAGAAATTTAGTCAATGGTAGCTTTACTAAGATGAAGGTGGGGAGAGGAGACTCATTCCTTGGGAAATCTGAGGTCTAGAGGAAACCAAACCCTACTTATTTTGTGAAACTTCCTAGTAACAAATAGCCTATTATGATCTATTTGGAATAGTCACAGTAACTATAAGATAGTTGAGATAAGATACTTGAGATACCTCTGGTAGCTCAAGCTTTGTGAGTAATTCCTAAAAAATATTTATTAGCTATCCCAAAGTAGTCAAAATATCTTTAGTGCCTGACTCTATTCCTAAATAATTCACTTGACAGATAGTATAGATGTAACATATTCGCTCTTCACATCAAGTAACAAGACATACATTTATCTCTATATTAGAGTTCTTATAGACAAATAAACTGGTGTTTCTTGGTTCCTCAGAATTTGATACAGTACTATGTAGGAAGCCTTTAGTAAATATTTGTATTTGATGAAAAGTCTAATGTCTACAAGTATCATCAAGTTCTGAAAATACTATTAAGCATGATCAAAGTAGTTTTAAAAATGATTAACCAGTCAAATTAGACAAATCAATAACTGTGTCCTATATTTCACAGCTGGTAACCAAATGTGAATTCAAGATTTTGAATGAGAGTAACTGAAGGATAATAGAATAAAAATATGACTAGGAAGTTGGAAGTAAGTTTACTTCATAAAGAGTGATAAAGAACTGTTTCTAAATGGTCATAAGTTGGAAGTGGTTAGGTCCTCCAAAAACATCTAGGATGTCCTGGAAGATAAAGAGCTGATGTCTGGTTTAAATGCTGGTACTGGAAGTAGTCTGAGAATCTGGTAAGCTTGGAAGAAAGTAAGAACACAGCAGGGCATGCTAAGTACACAAACCCAAGGCAGCATCCTTGACACCAACCCAAAGAATACCTGTGACTAATGACTAAGAGGAGCAAAATAACAGGAAGGGGAACTGAGACAAGAATCAGAGGTGCGTGAGAAAGAAATGGAGGAGGTTCAAGAGTCAGAAAGTCTTGGAAGTTCAGCTGATTGTTTAGTAAACACCAAACCACCTCAATAACATTAAATACAGACAGATAACAGCTTAATAATAATGCATGTATACTTTTAGATAATTCAGTTATTAGCCTTCAGCAATCAGCAAAGGGAAGTTAAATAGAAGCAAACAGCAAAAATACAAGTGGAATCATTAGTATAAGCTGCTGTCTACCAGAAGTTATCAGTCTCCAAGCTGTACTTTTTATGGATCTTGGTCAGGCCTTTGAATGGTTCCAGTAACCATGTGCAATAGACTCTGGGATGTACCATCCAGTTTCTCTCTAACGAAGAGTTTCTTCTCTCAGTTGCTAAGAGTGCTGTCAGTGTAGACAGTTGTCAGTTGGCCCCTCAGGGTTTCTCTAAGCTTCTTAAGGTCATGTTTTCCCCAAAGAGATACATTCTAATGACTAAAAAAGATGAAGGCATAAAAGCCTAGTTATCCTGGTCCATCTTTTGACCAATGGCTCTCACATTGCTTAATTAGTTTTACTTCTACCTGGATCTGCTTCTTTGCTCTGTCTTCTATAAGATACTTCTTAAGAAATCTTTTATGAACCAAACTATTTCCTAGTATCTGCCTCCAAAAAAAATCTCTGTGACCTCACATAGTCTATTTCATCAATTAATTGTCTGCAACTTATAGACAACTGCATGAATTTCAACAGTTTAGACAGGGGCTTATTGTAATCTCACATTCCATGAAGTACTAACTTAGGATACTTTTAGGACTAGTTCAGCCTCAGATTCCCAGGGTTTTTTCTCTTTCTGATCTGCCATCCTCAGCATGGTGGCTTTGTGGCTGATTTGGTACTTTTCATAGTCACAAGATAGCATCACGTGTTGGAATGAAAATATCCTGCAGAAGGAAAAAAATACTTACACTTCTCATGTGGATCTTTTTTAAGAGCCAGACACCCTTCCTCAGAAGCCATCTGGCCAACCTTTCCTTAGTTACTGGCCAGAGCTGATGCTCACATTTATCTCCAAACCAGACACTGGAAAGGAAATGAGATATTTGAGATTTTCAGATACCATTTAGAATCTGCTCCTGAATCCTTTGAAGGATGGATGTAGCCCTAAAGAATTCAAGATAACTATATCACCCCAATCCTACAATGTGTTTATTCAACATTTTCCTTCCAAGCAAATCATTTTATATAACCTAAAATCTAGGTTAGGTAGCTGGAGGGAACTGTTATTTTTATATAAAGCACCTGGATGGGCCTTCTGTGAATCTTCTCACAAGGACAATGAAATGACGTGTTTTGGCCACAGGGTGTGATATGCGTGGTCTTGTTCTCTAACCATCAGTGAACTGAGCACTGGGCATATGTGTATTTTCACTAGAGCTTGAACTCAGTCAAAAGCAGTGTACTCACAGCCCATATTAAATTCACTGACTTTGGAAAACACAGTTAAGATGCTCAATTTCAAAACCAGCCAGCCACAACAGGACAAATATTTATGATTATACTTCTCTGAGGTACCTGGAGTATACAGGGTTTGGGTTTTCTAGAGAAGGAATTAGAATGGTGGTTATCAGGCACTGGGGTGGGACAATTAAATAAGAAGTGACTGTTTAACAGGTTCAAGATTTAAATTTTGGAAGATTAAAAAAAAGTTCTGTGGGTGGATAATAGTTGCACAATGATGTGATGGTACTTAAACACTGCTGAATTGTACCCTTAGATGGTGAAAATAGTAAAACTGATGTACATTTTTACCATGATTAGAAGAAGCAGGGAACTGGGGATGTAGCTCAATGGCAGATCACTTGACTAACATGTGCAAGGTCCTGGATTCTAGCTCCAGAATTTAGAAAAAGAAGTATTTTTAGAGAATGGGGAAGAAGACCCCAGTAGCTTAGATTAATGGCAGTTTTAAGAAATGTAAATATGTCGGGCGGTGGTGGTGCATGCCTTTAATCCCAGCACTTGGGAGGCAGAGCCAGGCGGATCTCTGTGAGTTCGAGGCCAGCATGGGCTACCAAGTGAGC